TGGACCCAAGGGTGTGCCATGCAAATTTTGGCTGCTTTAGCTCTTACAGGGACTGAATGCATAGAGAACAAACAAACATACAAACAAACAAACAAACAAACAAACTTTCTTCTTTATATATATAGATCGAAGGCTATCAACATATGGAACTGATGTCACTCGAAGATGCGGTTCGATCACTTCATCCCATAATTGACAATTTAGCAAGAAATGTTTGGATTGCAAAAGATAATTGTAAATTACCGCCTGATTCTCTAACAGTTGACCAATCAGCATCTATCCATTTGTACACCATGGAGTGGAAACCAAGCAGTAATAGTCTCTATTCCATTCTCAATCGAACACTAAGGAACGAAGATCGTGACAGTTTGATTCCATGGTTTCCATACCTGAAACTATTTCTGACAGCTCTTCACAACATACCGTCTGACGAAGGAGTGATATGGCGAGGAATAAAAGCTGATTTGAGCATGAAGTTCAATAAAGGCGACACATTTGTGTGGTGGGGTGTTAGTTCATGCACAGAATCGATAGATGTACTCAGCAAAGAGCAATTTCTTGGCAAAACAGGGACACGAACACTCTTCAATGTACAATGCCACAATGGAAAGAAGATTCAGTCACATTCACATTATAAACAAGAAAACGAAATTCTTCTGCTGCCGGGAACATATTTGAAAGTGAAAGGTAAAGTAGATGTTGGCTCGAACTTACATATTATTCACGTTGAAGAAACAACTCCTCCATATGTGCTTTGTGAATCCCCAATCGGCAAACTATCGTGCAAGAATGAACGACTAGAAGGCCAGCTGCAAGCACTTGATTCCGTTTCGGACATAACGTTGCACAATATCGGAATTGACGAAGAAGACGCGCTAGTATTAGCAGAGGCATTGAAAGTGAATAAAACTCTCACCACTCTTAATCTTGAAAACAACGAAATATCTGTTCGAGGAGGTGAAGCACTGGCAGAGGCATTGAAAGTGAATAAAACTCTCACTACTCTTAATCTTGCAGGGAACCAAATATCTGATGGAGGAGGTGAAGCACTGGCAGAGGCATTGAAAATGAATAAAACCCTCACCACTCTTGATCTTGCAAGGAATCAAATATCTGTTCGAGGAGGTGAAGCACTGGCAGAGGCATTGAAAGTGAATAAAACTCTCACCACTCTTGATCTCGAGAGTAACAAAATATCTGATGGAGGAGGTGAAGCACTGGCAGAGGCATTGAAAGTGAATAAAAGTCTCACCACTCTTAATCTTGCAGGGAACGAAATATCTGTTCGAGGAGGNTGAAGCACTGGCAGAGGCATTGAAAGTCAATAAAACTCTCACCACTCTTGATCTTGCAAGGAATCAAATATCTGTTCGAGGAGGTGAAGCACTGGCAGAGGCATTGAAAGTGAATAAAACTCTCACCACTCTTAATCTTGCAGGGAACCAAATATCTGTTCGAGGAGGTGAAGCACTGGCAGAGGCATTGAAAGTGAATAAAACTCTCACCACTCTTAATCTTGCAGGGAACCAAATATCTGTTCGAGGAGGTGAAGCACTGGCAGAGGCATTGAAAGTGAATAAAACTCTCACCACTCTTAGTCTTGCAGCGAACCAAATATCTGATGGAGGGGGTGAAGCACTGGCAGAGGCATTGAAAGTGAATAAAAGTGTACTTTTGTTACGCTGATGTTTTGTTGTACTTTTGTTGTATTGAGGCATTGAAAGTGAATAAAACTCTCATCACTTTTGATCTTGGTGAAGCGTATTGACAGTGTTTAAGGATGTACGTGTGCTATACTAATGTTTTCGTTTCATGTATTAATTGGTTTTCCGCTTTGTATATTGTGCACTTGCGATTTGTGATCACCAATGTTGAGATTTGTTTTATGTTATGATCTATCTCGTATCAGCCAAGTATTGCTGAATGGAACTTTCTATATCTCCATGGTCATCTCCGGTGGATCTGATAAAAAAAGAAATATGGCTCAATTCGATTTTGCGTGGATTATCGAAAATTAAATACGACAACAACAAAGGATTCGCACCCATTACCAAAAATTGATGATATTCTCGACTATTTATCAAACTCAGTTTATTTCACAAAATTCGATTTTAAAAGCATATATTGTCAAGTACTACTCGATAAAAAAGGATCGTCCGAAAACGGTAATTTGCACCCGCGATAACCATTTTCTTTTCAATTTACAGTTTTACCACAAGGTGCCAAGAACGGTCCTCCTACATTTAAACGAATTATTAATCTAATATTAGACCCAACACGATGATGGCGTTGTTTAGCTTATATCGATGATACCATTATTTATTCTAAAACCTCGAAATAACACTTGTTACACGTGGAAGAAGTTTGTCAATTACTTGAACAAGCCAGCTTTCGATTGAACGTCAATAAGTGCGAAATAGCAAAACCGGAAATTATTTCTCGGTCATTGTATCAAAGACGGTAACATAATGCCCAATCCGGACAATATTCGAGGCTTACTGGACACAAAATCACCAACAACAACCAAGGAAGCATTTCGTTCCGTTAAAGCCGCCGAATATTACCGTAAATTTATATCTCATTTTTTCCAAATTGCTGGACCACTATACAAGTATGCACCTACAGCAGCTCAACAATGTGACAAACGATCCCAGTCATCGAAAATCGTACTCTCTTTGAACAAAGAGGCAGCATTTAACGAAGTAAAACGTATTTTAACAACTGATTTAGTATTACGTTTACCGAATAACGTGCTCCCATTTAAGCTCCAAACAGATGCATCGGACGAAGGTATTGGTGCGCTTTTAATCCAAAACATCTTCGCTAGGTAATCATCCAGTTGCATATCTCTCCTAAATTTTCTCCTACCCAGAAAAGGGTCAACATCTGAGCAAGAATGCTATGCAATCATATCATCAATTAAAAAATGGCATCACTACTTCGATGAACAGGAATTTATTGTAGAAACCGACCATAAACCACTGGAACAGCTGAATGGAAAGGCACAAGTTAATAAAAGATGTGAATGTTGGCGATTACAATTACAAGAATATCGTTTTAAGCTTAAATACATCAAGGACAATACCATGGCCGACTATCTATCGAGCTCTCCGACCTATGAACTAGAAGAAGATCTAGACGAATACACTAGTACATCGTCACAATCTACACAAACGGATGACATACACTCAATTCAAACTCAAATTTACCAGATCGATGACAACACGTACAGAACAAAGTTTTCAAGATGATAATAAGAGGAACGCGGTATTAGATCGTTCCTGCGATGCCATCGATGAAAAGAGGAATGGTAAAACATCGTTAGATCAATCCTGAGACCATCGAAATGAAGCTCGACCATTGACCACACATGACGATCTTTAAATTATTCCGTTCGATATAGATGATCTGAGACAACAACAGCAAAAGGACCGAGATGTCCAGCAAATTATACAAAACATTAAAGCTAAAAATTACAATCCCAAATATTTTGTCGAAAATGATTTATTGATGCGGCGCAAGAATCCTTTACCGCCCGATCCTTATGTACCAAAAAGCAGAATCCGCTCAGATACTATTAAAATTTATCACGATACGCCGGCCAACGGTGCACATTTTGGTCGCGATAAACTTACCAAGAAAAATCAACACCGATATTTTTGGCCCACAATGACATTAAAGATATCACAAATCATATCAAATCCTGTGAGCCTTGTTTACAAAATAATCATTCGCGCCGAGAACCGAAGCTTTGAAGCGAATAAAGCCACCAGATGTCGTTTGGCACTTGCTATCAATGGACTTCCACGGACCCATTATACCTATTTCGCAACGGGGTAACAAATATATTATTTCTCTCACCGATGTACTATCCAAATTCGTCGTTGTAAAAGCAGTTCGCGATTGCACAGCTGAAACAGCAGCATGTTTTCTCAAAGAGGAGGTCATTTTGAAATATGGTACACCTCTGTGCATTTTAACCGATAACGGAAGTCATTTCACAGCAGCAACGATGGAAGAATTATTTAAAAGAATGGGTGTCACTCGTCTATATTCGACACCGTATCATCCACAGACCAACGGAGAAATCGAACGATGCGATGCAACGCTACTATGGATGCAAAAATTGGTGCATTATCAAATAAACGTTGTACAAACTGGGACGAACAGCTACCATTCGTAACTCTCAGTTATAACACTAGTATCCACGCAACAATTGGACAAACACTGTTCGAAATGAATCGAACGCGAAATTAAACACAATACACAATCAGAGTTCAGAGATTGGTTTAATGACAGGTATCCATCTGCACCTGAATGCAAAGATGAACCGAATGATCAATATTCACTACAACATGCAATTAAACTCGTCTTTAGTCATTGATTAGACAAGGAGCTCACGTTGAGTAATTGGGGATGTGGTATTGATGAACATTTGGCAACATGTATACCTGAAGCATTAGTTGGGATGGATGGGTTCGAAGTTGAGTGGTGAACGAGAAATACGTAAGTTACAAACACAATATGCAATAAATGATTGTTTATCATTAACAAAATTAATATTTCCCGCCTTATACGATTGAACACCAGAACAAGTGCAAAACTACGAAACATCATTGCAATCATTAAAATTAGCATCATCAAAATTAGAACTACAATATGAAGATATTTCGGATGATGAAGACGTGAGATAATATAGTTGGACGAATGAAAGATGAATGTAGTCGAGGGCAATTGCAACAAATATTACATGATAATGTGTTTACCGAATCACACTATTATCGTTTATATTCGCAATAATAATGACGAAGTGATATACAACAGTCCAAATATTATGACAATGTTTTCTTCCTTCGTTAATCGTTAAGATCAGTCAGATTTTTCTATTTAGTCAACTACCCGTGAACGTTTTCAGATTTTCAATTTTTGCTGAAATTTTCTTTCTGTCTTTTGCTTTTAGCAGTTTAGTGTGTGAGGACACACACTTTTATTGTGAGGAGGATTGTTACAGGCTAGACATACCGTTTGAATAGTTCTAAATCGAGGTCTTCCATTTTTCCTTTTTCTTTTTCGTTGTTATATCATCATATACATCTAGAGATGTTCATTCATAAAATCGAATGAAAATTGTCATTTAACAGCCATTATAATGACAATTTTTTGACTTTGAAATAACGGTGAAAATAATGCCAGATTATAGGCAATGTCCAAAAAATTGTCATTTTACGGACACCATTAAATGGCATTTTCGTCCATTTATTAGACCGCGTTAACTAATGCCAAATAAATGTGGCCGTTAAATGTCCGTTTTTTCTTCATTTCAAAATGGCATTTAACAGCCAGTTTATGGTCACCAGAGCACTCACCGCTTAATTCTGCCGTCATGAGTAGTATTAATGACTCGGATTTTCCTAAAATAATTTAGAGTGTTTCTTTTCTTCAGTTATACGAGTCATAGAAACTTGCCTCGAAGAAGTAGTCTGTGGTTCTTGACTCGATGCAGGTGATAGTACCTCAGGTTCAAAAGATATTTTTTTGACGTTTTCGAACGGTCTAACAATTGATATTTAAATGGCAAAAAAATGTGACCAGTAGGGTTACTTTCAACAGTTAAATACCTGTTATCTGACCGTTTTTTGACATTTAAGAAAATGCGAAATAAATGCATTTAAACGTTCCCAGTTATAATGGCAAAAAACGGCCTAAAAACCGAGTCAGATGTCATAAAAATGCCATTTAAATGCTTATTCACAGCGTATTAAATAGCATTTAATTGGCAATTAATTACACCGTTTTCGACGTCCTGGATGGCGTTCCCATAAAGATAATTGAAAAACGTTTTTTTTCTTATAATATCTTCGCGTAAGCGGGCACTAACTCTTATGGAGGAGTTGTACTAGCAGTTGATAAAAAATTAAAATCAGTTCCTCTGGACATTGACATACCTAATGTAGTAGCAGTGTTAATTATAATAAAAAGTAGAACATTTTTAGTAACTTCTATTTATTCTGCTCCTCGCGAACCTCTCCCTATTACAACCATGTCTTCGTTAATAAGTCGTTCGAAAGATTTTATTTTTGTTGGTGATTTAAATTCTAAACACACGGATTGAGGTTGCCCCCAGGTGAACGGTAAAGGAAATGTTTACTCACTGAGTAATTTGTTTTACTAAGAAATTCACTCGAGAAGTTATCAACAAATGAGTTCTTGACCCCGATTGTTGTGCAGGTAAAATATTCATTTTATCCAGCCAATTATTAAACCTTATCAAAAACAGACGTTCATAAATTTTCCCAAATACCGGGAGCAATGAGATTAGTCTCAGTTCGTTCGTTGTTGGAGCTGAACTATTCACTTTGTTGAGGCAAATTGTTCTGGCTTTCTTCCAGCTACTACCCCAATATGCTTTAGAAAACAAGGAATTATACAACACGGTGATATTAATCAAATACAGTTCAGGCAGAAGTTTTACCATTCTGTTAGAAACACCATCAAGTCCCGATGAATTTTTATTGTTCAAACTACGTACAACCTTTCTCAGGTCTTGGACTGTGAAGATCAGGTTGGAATTGGAACAAACGCACTCACCATCATCTGGATCAGCATCTCTCAATAAATTCCAGATATTCACAGCAGAACGATCAATTTCTTTAGACATATCCATCTCAGGCATTTTGAAACGGCTTCTAAAGCGGCTTGTCAGGCATGCAATAATTTCATCTGGTGTCTTGTAAACAGTGTTATTTTCTGACAAGGCCGTAAATTGAGCCGACTGATTCTTATTGAGGCCCCTAACTGTATTCCAGAAAGATGCTGGGTTCGGAGACGCTACTTGTGAAATGAACTTTACTCAACTATTCCGCCTGAACGTTCTGAACTCCCGTTGGATCAACTTATTCCAAGACCTAAAACGTAAACGACCTTCTTCCAACCTTGAATGTCTGTATTTGTTTTGCAAATAATGCTTATGTTTCAACAGAATTCGAAGTGCTTGTGGAATGGTTGGTCGCTTATTCCTAACTTTGTGCCAAATGGTAACACGATGCTTCAACGCGTTTAAAAATTTTTGGAAATATTGAAACCACTCAAAAGCATCAGGATAATCAACCAATCTAGCTTCCATAAACTCCGGGTGTACAATCAATAAGACAAACTGATAAACATTCCAGTACGTCTTTGGAACAAATACCCAATCATCCGTAACGTCAATTCCTAAGAACTCTGTGAAAACGGGGAGATGATCACTACCTTTGTACATGAGGGACCGACATTGGACGGCAGACATCGCTTCTGATGAAAAAACCAAGTCAATTGTAGTATCAGACCTCCACGAAGTTTTCATACCATAGTTATGGACCTCCAGCTCTTTCGCATCGAGCCACTTCGACAAAACATTTCCTTTACCGTTCACCTGGGGGCAACCTCAATCCGTGTGTTTAGAATTTAAATCACCAACAAAAATAAAATCTTTCGAACGACTTATTAACGAAGACATGGTTGTAATAGGGAAAGGTTCGCGAGGAGCAGAATAAATAGAAGTTACTAAATATGTTGATTTCTTGCAGGCGTTCGATAATTTGTGGCAACAAGGACTGATTTTGAAACTGCATCGGTTGGAGTGTCCATTCTCGTACCTAGTTTGGATAGTGAATTATTTTAAAGATAGAAACTTATGTATTGATTACTCCGGGCAGTTGTCAGATGAAATTGACATTTGGAGGGGGACTCCTCAAGGGAGTTGCCTAGGTCCACGTGTGTATATTGCCGATCACTTTGATTTGGTACAGACTTTTCGGAGGCCAGACGATGGTCATCTGTACATTGATGATTTAGGGCTTTTGTACTCTCCATGTATCTATTTGAATCGGCGTGAACAGGTTAGAGAAATGGAAAAGCGCATTAACGAAGACATGCTCGCTCTGAGTATCTATTGTGAGGACTGGCACCAATCGGTCAATACTGTAAAAACGGAAGTGGTTGTCTATCACAAGGGTGGTCAATGTTCAAAGCTATGCATCTTGTATCAAGGTGCACAGATACCGCAGAAGGAAAGTTTTAAATACCTAGGATTTTTTCTGGATGCCCAGTTAGCTTTTGAGACTATGATTAATGCCCAACTTGTAAAACTTAGGCGCTCTTATGCGATTTTGAAGTACATTCATCGACAATTTCCTCTTTTCATCTACCTAAAAATGAAATTCTTCAATACTTACATATGGCCCCACCTCCACCTATTATCGACTGTTTACTGTTTGTTTTCGAACACATCGCGTGAACGTATTAATGGGTTTTATAGGAAATGTTTAAGAATGATTTTTTGTATTTTTCGCTGCTCAACTCTGGACCTCCATGATGTTTTTCTTTTACCCCGATTCGAAGACAAGTTTAGAAAATGTCTGGCTATCAGACTAGAGAGTATACAATAGTACGAACCCGAGTTTTTAGAAAATGTGCTTTTACAGAAGAAAGTTGTTAATGAATTTTTCGGCCATTATAAAGTAAAAGCCCATATTTCTGGTCTACCGAAAGGCAGATCAAATCGTAGCATTGTTAAACTTATTCGCAATAGTAATGAAACCTTTTTGATAGACTGTGTTCGTTTGTCTGGACCGTCCTTTAATGTATACTTTATGTGTCTGTTCAAAATTCTGATAGTATTAGTGTGTAGAGTACGCTTTTTGTTGTACTTCAAAAAACAAAAATTTGTTTTCTGTATATGCTTGGCCGTACTCTGACTGAGAAAGATGATATTTTACTGTCTGCTTGTAATATTTCTAATGTGGAAACTACAGTAGTCAATGTTCTTTACATAATTTATATATTTTTCTTCTCTACATTTT